TGCTCCTGCTGCGGCTGCTCCTCCAGCTGCGGCTGCTGCTGCTGCTGCTCCTGTTTCTGCTGCTCCTCCAGCCGCTGTAGCTCCAGCTGCTGCCGCTCCAACTCTCTCTCCTCTCGCTCCAACTCCAGCTGCTCCTCACGGGCACGGCGAACACGGGCCTGGTGCCGGGTCGGGTACGGGTGGGGGGGAGGAGTAGTGTTCGGGGCGAAGTTAGCCCCAGGACCGCTCTCTGAAGCACCAGTCGCACCACCCTTAGAGCCAGCACTACCAGCAGCAACGCGGCCAGTCCCAGACCCTCCTGGTCCAGCGGGGGGCGCACCCGCACCCCCCGTCGGAGCCCGGGTATCCCGGTCGACCGGGCAACCATGCCTGGTCGCCCAGTCCAGTCCGTAGCCGGCCACACATGACCGGCGTCCCCAGCCCGGCGTCCAGACGCCCAGGACGCCTACCAGATGCCCAGGTCGGCGTCCTGGCTCCCAGGACGCCGTGCAGACGCCCAGGTCGGCGTCCAGCCTCTTAGGATGCCGACCAGGCGTCCAGGGCGGCGCCCAGCCTCCCAGGACGCCGTGCAGACGCCCAGGTCGGCGCCCAGCCTCCCAGGACGCCGTGCAAACGCCCAGGTCGGCGCCCAGCCTCCCAGGACGGTGTGCAGACGCCCAGGTCGGCACCCAGCCTCCCAGGACGCCGTGCAGACGGCCAGGTCGGCGTCCAGCCTCCCAGGACGCCGTCAAGGCGTCCAGGACGTCGACCAGGCGCCCAGGACGGCGTCCTCCTGCTCGACGCCCTCCAGCCAGGCGCCCTCCAGCCAGGCGCCCTTGCAGTGGCCCCCGTGCCCTCTGCTTTAGGTCGGCTGCATCCCCCGCACACCCGACCAAGAGGTCGGCTCCGCCAAAGGGAGGGCGGGGCCAAACACCACTCCCGTTGACACTCCCCTGCCGCGTTCACGCTTGGGCCCCCAGCCCACACGGCAGCACCATTCGGAGAATAGCCCGTCGGCGTGCACACAACACGCAGCACGCCGGTCACCACACCAGCCATGCAAGAGGGCATGGCACCTACTGCTGCACGTCGTCGTCGCCGTCGCCCACGTCGGTCAGGCGCACTTGGCCGATTGCAACGGAGCACCGGTTGAAGGCCGGATAGTGCAGCGCCTTCGTCAGGAAGTCAGCCGGCTGCTCGGTGGTCGGGATGTACTTCAGCGTGAATTTCCCGCCCTTCACCATGTGCTGCAGCCAGGCTTGTCGCCGCTCCATGTGCTTGAGGTTTTCTGTCAGCCCCATGCCCTCGGCGACCGTGATAGCCGACTTGTTGTCCACACAAAGAACCGTCCCTACAAGGAGGAAACGAAGGAGGAAACGAAGGCGGCGTCCCTACTTGCCGGCTTCGGTGGCCGCCACGTACTCCGACTCAGTCGACGACAGCGTCGCGCACTTGATGCGCTGGCTCGACCAGGAGACTTCTGCCCCTCCGTAGACGAACGCGTAGCCGCCCGTGCTCGTCCGGTTCTGCTTGTTGCCGGCGTCGTCGGCGTCCACGTAGCCGACCAACTCCAACCCCGCCGAACTACAGGGCGGTGTCGCGGGTGTTGACGAGGTAGGCGAGGCAGCGGTCGACCTCGCGCCAGTGCTGGTCGCTCCTCACCGTGAGGCCGCTCCCCAGCTTGCTGCAGGCGAAGGCGATGTTCGGCCTCGTCGTCGTCGCCGCGAACTGCAGCGAGCCGACCTTCTGCCAGTACTCCTCCTCCTAGCGCTCCTGTTCCTCCTCGTCGACGAACGTCAGCTCGGCGTAGGCGTCGACCGAGACCGGCGTCTTTGGGGTGCGCTCGGTCTGCTCCTCGTCGATGAACCACCTGCGCAGCTTGTCGGCGTAGCCCTGTTGGTGAAGCCACAGCTTCCTCGCCGGCCTGTCACGCACGATCTCCAGACCGAGATACTTCTGCACCAGCGAGATCTCACGCAGCTCGAAGGCGGCCTCCAGAAGCTCCTTCAGCTCCTTCAGCAATCTCGGCACTGCTGCTGGCCAGCAAGTACCCAGCAAGCCACCTTGTCGTCGCCGACCTTGAAGTAGAGCTCCGTGTCGACCTAACTCTTCTTCCAGCCGGCGCCGACAAGCACATCATTGAGAGCCTTGTACCACAGCAGCGGCGACTACTTCAGCCCGTAGAGGCTCTTCAGCAGCTTGCACACCCGGCCGGTTCCATCGTTGAAGTAGTCCGGCTGGTCGAGCTTGCTCTGCAGGAAGGCGTTCCTCATGTCGAGCTGCATCAGGTTGAGGTTGAGGAAGGCGACGATGCTGAGGAAGATCCTCAGCGTAACGTAGCTGCTCACTGGCGCGTACGTCTCATCGTAGTCGGCGCCAACACCTGCGTGAAGCCCTTCACGACCAGCCTCGCCTTCTCGCGCTCGACGGTGTCGTCGATGTGGTACTTCGTCATCAGCACCCACCGGTTCTTCATGATGTTCACCCCCGGCGGGCGTTCGACCAGCTCCCACGTCCCCATGCCGATGAGGCTGCGGATCTCCAGCTCGCCAGTGCCTCCTTCACCGTCATCGTCGAGATGTCCCAGCGGTGTTCAGGGTCGGCGTGCATGTCGGGGTCGAGCTCCGGCAGCTCCTCATCGTCGTCGGCGTCGTCGTACAGCAGGTCGTCGTCGACCTCGTCGTACGCCGTGGTGAAGGCAGCCGGTACGTAGAAGTCGGGTGGCCTTCGGATTCAGCCTGACTGCCGTGGTCCACGCTGGACCTCCACCACGTCGCTGTCGGTGGACTCCTCGGCGTCCCCTCCATCGCCACCGGCTTCGTTGCCCTCGTCGTTCTGCTGCACCTCGGTCGGCTTCCCGGCCGACTTCTCCCCTGTGGTCGGCTCGCCTACCGACTGCCCAGTCGTCGACTGCTCCGTGGTCGGCGACGCTGCTGCCTACTCCCCTGTCGGCTGCACCTCCTCGGCCTGCCCCTCCTCCCCTTCCGGCGTCGACTTTACTCTCACGTCGACTTGCTGGACGTCACGTCGGCCATCGGCGATGCTCTTGGCCGGCGCCACAGGCGACGCTCCACTTCTCCCCTCATCGCCGGAGGGTGACACCGGAGTCAGCCCACGCAGGTCGGCCACGAGGGGAGGGGCAAGGGGTGCAGGGGGAGGGGAAGGAGGACGGACGACCTCGGCGTCCTCATCAGCAAGCTCACCGACCTCGGCGAGCAGAGGCAGCGTCGCCGCCGAGGTGTCCGTCGGCGGGGTGGTCGGAGTCCGTCCCGACGCCGGCCCGTGCTCCGACTTCCACACCTCCAACGACATGTGCTCGTAGAACACCACGTCCGACGTGGTGACCACCCGGTTGTCGACGATGTCGAGGAGCTCCCAGCCCTTGCTCTCCTCCGACACGCCGAGATGAAGACCCCACCGAGCCTTCCCACCACGCTGCTGCTCGGGATGCGGAACTGCGCCATGCAGCCCGACACGCGTGCCAGCTACAAGTCGGGCTTCTTCCCGGTGAGCAGCTGGTACGGCGTTGTCCCTGGCGACAGTGTCAACCTCTCCAGGCAGTTGCGTACCCAGACGGCCTGCTGCAGAGCGAGGTGCCACCAGTGGTGCTGCACGCCCTTGTGCAGCAACATCGTCCGCACCGACTCCACCACCGTTCGCATCTCCCACTCCGCCATGCCGTTCTACTGCGGGGTGTAGCCAGAAGTGGGATCAGCCAGTGCTACAGAGACCGGCGTAGGAAGCGGGGTAAGCGTCGTGCGGTCGCGGAAGAAACAGTGCGAAGCTCCGGAGTCCAGAATGAAAGACAGCGACGCGTCGTCTGGAGCAGCTCCTGGACTAGTGTCGACACATGTACCTACACTAGCAACAGGCACCTCAGCAACACTAGCACCTAAGCTAACAACACTCAAGTGGACGGCACCACGCGACAGCTGACGCGGTCCTGACCCCTGCTCCGGCACCTGCTGCTGCCTCTGCTGCGAGAGGAGTGGCTGCTGCTGCTGCTGTCGCCGAGTCAGGTACCAAGCCGCCACTCCAGCACCTGCAGCTGGCAGTCCAGCAGGTGCCTGACATACCCTAGCGTCACCTCCACCAGCTGCAGCAGGGGAGACACTAGCAGCTGCACGAGGCGCTCCTCCAACTCCTGCACCCCCGCCACCGCCGCTCGTCACGTCACCTCCGCCGCCACCGCCGCCACCGCCCGCACCCTGACCGCCCCTCCCGCCACGCCTACCCCTAAACTGCGAAGAAGTCGTAACAGCAGCTGCGGTCACGTCAGTAGCGGCAGTGGCGAGGGAGGCAGTAAAGGTGGGCAGCTGAGGGAAAGTGCACCCGTGAAACAGTGGAGGGGGTACAGCGCCTGAGGCGGAGGCTACCGAGCGGAGGTTGCTCTCGACGTCCTTGAGGGCAGACTCAAGTACCTCGATAGTGATCTCGCTAGGGTGCTTCAGAAGAAGCGCGGCACGAACCGATGCAAGGCGGTCAGGGAGGCTAGTGGCGATGAAATAGATAGTAATCGCCATGGGGGGAGGGAGCAGTGCAAGCTGTGCGTCAGTGCAGGCAGCGTGAAAGCTAGAGTCCAGTGAGCGCAGGTGAGCAATCAAGTCAGCAGAGCGCTCAAACGAGGCGAGGTCAGGAAACAGGAAGGGGAGGAACAGGCGGAGACAGTGGAAGGAGTAGCATAGCGGGCCTTAATCGCAGTCAGGAACTCACTAGTCGCGCGAACCTGCGTGAAATGGGTCTCCTCAGACTCAGGGAGGAGGCTGCTAAGGGCGATGCAGGCCGCAGCGTCGCGCGATCGCCAGGCTGTCAAGTCAGCACGCTGACGCACAACACGGTCTCTGTCCTCAGGGGCAGCGTCAAGGCCAAGGGTATCAGGATCGAGGGGCGCGGGGAGTTTACCGGAAGCGTGCACTCACAGGGACTCGTTCGCCTGCACCTGACTCTCTAGGAGACGCTGCGCACGCTGGAGCCAGACAGAGAACTCGAAGGGCCTACCATCTGCGTCAAAGCGAAGGACCCTAGGGGTCGCCATAGCGGAAGCGGAAGCGACTAGGCCGGCAGGGCGTAGCGTTAGGCGCGGCAGCAAGCGCGGCGGCAGGCGCGGCGGCAAGATGGCGCGGGGGGGCGCAGCTGCAGGCGCGCAGACAGGGACGCGAGCGGGCAGGCGTAGAGGCGCGCGGGCGTGCGCAGGGCAGGCGCGCGGGCGAGCGGGCGTAGAGGCGCGCGGGCGGGCGCAGAGCAGGCGCGCGGGCAAGGGCAGAAACAGGCGCGCGGCGGGCGTTTAGGGCAGGTGCGGCGAGCGCGGAGGGCGGGCCCGCGGGCGGGCGCTACGGGCAGTCGCGGCGGGCGCAAAAGGCAGGCCCGCGGCGGGCGCTAAGGGCAGGCGCGGCGGGCGCGAAGGGTAGGCCCGCGGCGGGCGCCAAGGCCAGGCGCGGCGGGCGCTACGGGCAGGCGCGAAGGGCAGGCCCGCGGCGGGCGCGAAGGGCAGGCGCGGCGGGCGCGACGGGCAGGCGCGGCGGGCGCTAAGGGCAGGCGCGGCGGGCGCTACGTCAGGCGCGGCGGGCGCTAAGGGCCGGCGCACGACGGGACGGGATATGGGATGGGACGGGCGTGACAAACGGAGCGCTACCGCAGCGCTACGAGACAGAACGGGTGAGGCGCATCAGGCTCGGGCGGGAGGAACGGGATCCTACAGGATCCTAACCTAGGTGATACCATGTCAGAAACTGAATTGTGACTGCATTGATGTGCGTTGGGGTACATATACCTAACCCTAACATTTGTACCCCATAAGACAAGCCTCACTACAGGCTACAACATTTGACAACATCTAGCTTGCAGTGGTCCAGCATGCATGATGCCCAAAATCGTGCCAGCAGCACTATGGCTACACCCATCATCAGGTCAGGCGGGAATGGGCTCCATCTGTTGCACCTTCTTCCAGGCGGGGCGGGAGGAGATGCGCTCCCACCACTTTGCCACGTTGGGGCGCGATGTGATAAGGTCACCGGCGCCGGCATGGAAGAGGATCTCGGTGTACGGCAGGTGGGTGAGGTCCGCCAGTGTGCACCGCCCGCCCACCAGGTACTGGCGCCCCTGCAGGTGCTTCTCGTAGATGTCAAACAGCCGCCCCAGCTGCCGGGGCGAGCACGGGCAGTGAGGGGTGTGGAAGGGCGTTAGAGTGGTTGTGAGGTGTGAGGGGGGGAGAGCAGCTCGCGCGGCAGCACTGGGTGCCAGGTGATGGCACTCCCGGGTGACCTAAGAAAAGTCCCTCCCCGTTTTCTTCTCCCAAGCCTCTCATCCTCCCCATCGCCCCATCCTCTCCCCCACTGCACCATGCTCCCCGCGTACACCCCACCCCCTCACCTTCTCGATGGCAGCATCAGCGCGCGCCTTGTCCGGCTCGCCCTTGCCCATGAGCTGCTTAAGGAAGTTCTCCTCCACCACCACGGCCACCTGCTCCGTCACACTGTGCGCCTCCACGTCCGTCCACTGGCTCACCTCCGCGCGCTCCCACACGTCCGCCCCCACCAGGTTCGCCTTGCCCTCCGCGTACTTCTCCGCTATGTACCGCATGATGGCACGCGACTCTGGTGGGGGGAGATCGGGGGAGGCACGCACGCACAGCACGCACAGGGATGGGAAGTGAAGGCACAGCTGCGTGTGTGCGTGGAGACAGCACGCCGGCCATTTATGTGAGTGCATTAACGCTCTCAATGCCTTTGGCCCTTCGCCGAACAGCACACCCATTCACAGCATCTCAATCAAGCATTCGAGTAACAGCGCGATTGTGAGGGCGGTGCAAACGAGGGGTGGTGCGCAGGTGGTTAGCAACCGTAAAATTTTACTGACCTTGCTTAAGCAAACCGCTCAGATGCTGGCACATGCGAAAACAGACGCGATAAAATCTTAATCATTGACAAAAATGGCAGACGTGTGAGAGCAGAGCGGTAAGGAGAGGCGGGCAGGCAGTGCACTGACCATAGAGGTAGCGACCGTTATCGTCCAGCACTGGCATCTTGCCGAAGGGCTGACAGGGGGAGCAACGGGGAGGAGCAAGGGGAGAGCGAGAGTGACACGGATGAGAGGGTGTGCACGACACGACTAGCGCCATGCCATGAGGCGGCACTGCACCTTCGCACCGCATGGGACACCACTCCGAATGCTCCTTACGCGCCTTCTACTAGAAGGTAGTACTTTCAATAATGATCCTCTCCATCCGTAATACATCATTCACATCCGTTATTGCCGCGACGCATCACAGCCACCCCCCCTCCCCGCTAAGAGATGCTTGCATATACTCGACTCACGCACGTTCATGGCGAAGTACTCGGGCGTCTTGTTGTCGCCCTTGCTCGTGTTCACCACTTTCATCTCGAAATCCTGCCAGGGGAAAGGGGAGCACGGTCGCGTAACTCGGAATGCTGCCGCGTTATGATAACATGGACGAATGCGGGGTGCACTCACGAAGATAAAAGAAAGAATGAGAGCAGTCCGTAGAGCAACGAATTCGACAAATTGACATGATGACTGGATTCAGGAAGTTTTATGGCGCCTCAAAGCTCATTTGCCCATTGCTCTCACCTCGACGCCCATCTCGTAGAGCGTCAGCAGCACGCGACGCACGAACGGCGAGTGCACATGGCCGTAGAGCTTCAGTCCGGAGGTCATTTTCTAAAACCTGGTTCTGTGAATCGAACACTGAGTTTGTGATTTGAATTGTCCAGGGACATCTCCGAAGACACAGATAAACGCTATGACTTGAGGGGGGAGGAGGAGAGCGAATCCCAAACGCTGGATAGGCTAGGGAAGATGCTTTTCGGGATCAGGGACAACGTACTAAACAGGTGTGGATGAACAGAACGATGCCCTGCGGTCGGCAATGGTAATCATGGGTCAGATTCGCCAGTCACACACACAAACCCCATTCGATCAAACGATGATGAGTCAATCGAAAGCTTTGCGGGCAGCAAGGGCTTCGGTTCGGGCGGGACATAACTTGCCGAACCTGGTCATTCGTTTCCCAGCATGCCTACGTTCGGCATTAGCCACGAAACGTCGTCACCTTCACGCAGCCGCGCTTCAGAGTGTAGCTCGAGTACATACTTGAAACCGGCCTCCATAGAAACTCCATTACGGTATCAGATTTCTGTTGGTGTTGTAAGACCCCAAAACATCTAAAAATCAGTGCCCCTGCGATCAGAACACTGAAATATCAGTGTCACAATTTCTAAAACGCTGAAAGATTAGGGTCAGTACTCAAAAACACCCCTGAAAATCAGAGAAATCAGGGCAAAGGCCTGACTTCGGGCGGGTATTACCTACTGTATATGCTATACTATACAGCATGTTCTTATCTTCGATAAGAATTCAGTGCTGCTTCACTTTCATGATCCAACCTGATCCGCTAAACTAGCAGCATTTGTGCGAACACAGTAATCTCTCCCTTACGCTACAATGAGATTACCTAAAAGATTGAATTCCTTCCCCACATGCCATCACCATGTGGCCCCTAGGCTTCAACTGGCACCTGTGTGCATCTTGATCCACGGATGCTCTGCATGGGTGGAGATCAGAGGAGATGGGCGGGATGCAGGTTAGGGTGGTGCTGCTGTGAGGCACCGCATATGCATAAGTGTGTGCGTGGGAGGTAAGGTAATGGGGAGAAGCAGATGAGGCAGTGAATGTGGGGAATGTGTTTCAGTGCAAATCCCTTTGTTGGACAATTTCATTCTGACCATGAGAGTGAGTTGTCTGGGAGGTGAGATTGTGAAGTACAAGAGGTGATTATTCTCTCCCTTCTCCACACCCAAATCACTCACCGAGAATGTCGTTCCCTGTGATCCTCGTGGCCGGATCCTTGTCAAGCATCCTCCTTATAAGCTCCTTGCACACTGCCGACCGGTCGCCCCACTTGCTTTGGGTGAAGGGCACGTCATCCCCCAAAATCGACTCCTTGAGGGTCTTACTCGCGCGCTCCCAGAAGGGAGGCGCCCCAGCCAGCATCACATAGAGCACAATGCCGGCGCTCCAGAGGTCAGCGGGCGGGCCGTACGCGCCCTTGAGCACCTCAGGCGCGATGTACTCGGGCGTGCCCAGCACCTCCCGGCACGGCACACCTGCAGTGAACCGCGTGGCGACGCCAAAGTCGATGAGCTTCATGTGTGTGTCGTCAGAGCGGTCGCACATGAGCACGTTCTCGGGCTTCACGTCCATGTGCAGCACACCACGCGCATGGCAGTGCAGCAGCACGCCCACCAGTGACTTGCAGATGGCAGCAGCAGCGGGCTCAGGCATGCGGCCGCGCAGCTTGATGCGGTCAAAGAGGTCCCCTCCCTTGCAGAGCTCCATGACAATGTGGATGTTGTCGTCATCTTCAAACGTCGCATGCACCGCCACGATGTGCGGGTGGCCGCGCAGCTCCTCCAGGAACCCCACCTCGTTGCGCACGTCCTCCGCATCCTCCGCCGTCAGAATGCCCGCCTTGGCGATGCTCTTGCATGCAAACGTGAGCCCTGTCTGCCGCTGCACGCACTTGCGGATGATGCCGAACTGCCCGCTGCCGATCTCCTTGCGGGCCACCACGTACTCCTCGCGGATGTCGGCATACGGCTTCCTCAGCACAAAATCACTCGCCCGTGCCTTCCTCCTCCTCTCTGCTGCCCGCTCTGACTGCCTCCACAGCCGCTGCTGCCGAGCCTGCTCTTCCAAACCTTGGCTTCTGTCAGGAGCTCCCTTGGCTTCCCGAGCCTCGATGCCAGGCTTGGCAACCAACGGCGTCGTGGCTGTTGGGGACTGGTGGACTTGTCTTGCTGCTGCTGCTACTGAGGTGGCCCTGTTGGAGCATTGCTGTGTGACTGTGGCGTGTGTGGTTGCAACGTGTGTGCTTGTGCTTTTGACAGCGCTGACACTGAAGCCAACACACGACACATGTGTGTGCTGGTGCAGGCTCGTCGTGACGTGCTGCTGCTGCTGCTCATGCATGTCACTCTGCTGGCTGTGCTGCTGCCTCTGCTCCTGCTGCTGCCCCAACTGCTGCTGCTGCTGCTGCTGCTGTTGCTGCCACGCCTCTCTCCCGAGCCTCCCTCTCTGGTACCGCAGCGGCGAACCAGGCAAGGCAGCCCCAGGCACGAACACGGGCGAGTGAAGAGCAGGAGGAGCAGCGGTGGTGGGGAAGGGCAGCAGGCCCACACTGGAAGGCGAGCGCGGCACAACGGCCGGGGAGAGAGGCCCGCTCACCCCCCTGCCATCACCTTGTCGCCCACTCTTCCCATCTGCCCCGGCCCTGGCTCTCAGCGGGCTGAGAGTGAGTCCCAGCAGCCTGCCGCTGCCTCCCCCCTGGAACAGGCTGGACTGCGTGCCATGCGTGTCCCGCGCGCCCTTCCACACCTCGCGCCCGCCCCTGCTGCCCCACCCCATGCTGCTGCCCCCCTTGCTGCTAATACGCCCACTCTCACCCCCCCCGCCACTGGTGCTAGCGGCACCAGTGGGCGCGCCCGTGCCTTGCCCAGCGGGGCGCGAGTCCCGGCTGCTGCTGTAGAGGTCCGAGAGCGCCAGGCGGCTGCTGCTGCGCCGGCAGCTGCCCCCGGCGGCGAGGGCGGCGGCGGCGGCGGAGGTGGAGGCGTTGACGGGGAAGCGAGGGCGCGCGTTGAACGAGCTGCTGCTGCCCAGGAACGCGCCCGGGCACAGCGGCATGCTGCCGCTGTTGCTGCTGCTGCCTCCGCTGCACCCCTGCCTCTCCCCCTGCCTCTCCCCCTGCCTCTCCTCGTGCCTCTCCCCCTGCCTTCCCCCCTGCATCTCTCCGTGCCTCTCCCCGTGCCCCTGAGCCACCTCCCACCCGCCTTCCTCCCTACTCTCCTCGCTCGCCTCCGCCTGTCCTTCCTCCTCTCCATCGACGCTCCAACCGCTCCCCCTTTCTAAGCACTCCTCTTCTTCCCCCTCTCCCCCGTCCCTGTGTCTAGTTTCTGCGTCCTCGCATGAACTGGTAACCCTTTTATCAGCAACAGCGCCATAACTTGCAGCAGCATTGCCGCTCGCAGCAGCAGAGTTGGCGCTAGTGGCGGCAGCAGCAAAAGCAGCGCTCGCAGCGGGCGCAGCAGGCGAGCGGCCGCGAGCAGCAGTGGCAACGGCGCGCTGCAGTCGGAGTGCCAGGTCGGCGGACGCCCACCCATGTGCGCTCGCTCTCCGCGCATCCCCCTCCCCTCCTCTTCCCCCTTGCCCCGTCATCCCATCCCCGTTATAAGCACTGCGTCGTTCCACCTGCTCCGATACACACCGCACTATCGCCCGTCTCCTCGGCCCATCCCCCCCAACCCGCTGCCGCGGCCGCTGCTGGGGAGACCCCTGTCGCTGCTGCCCCTGCCCGCTCATCCCCTCCCCGCCTCGCAAGCGCGGGTCGGCCCTCCACGAGCCCGCCTCGTCCGAGTCCCCGCGCGCGGGTGAGGTGGCGGAGGTTGGCGCATCGGGCGCAGCGCGGGAGGAGAGCGAGCGCGAGTGGAGGCGCAGCAAGTCCGCGATGCTGAACGCCCGCCCCTGCGCCCCCGAGATCGCCCCCCGCCTCTGCGCCTGCTGCTGCTGCGCCTGCTGCTGCTGCTGCTGCTGACGAAACGTCCCTTCACTTTTGCAGCTTGCGCTATCACCGGCGGCACTGGCAGCGCATGCGCCGGTGTCAGTCCCCGCGGCGACTGCCGTCCGCCCCAGCGGGCTCTTGGGCTGCGGCGACGCGCTCCTGCTCGCCGGGGAATGCGGCGTGGGCGACTTTAGCACGCCCAGGGGTGACGCCGGCGACAGCGATGCGAATCGCGAGTGCGACGCGGATGAGGAGGAGGAGAAGCACGAGGCCGAGGGGGGGGAGGCGGAGGGCGTGGGGGAGGCGGGAGATGCCGGGGAGGCGGAAGGGGGACAAGAAAAAGGGGCAGAGGCGGAATGCGGAAACGCGCCGGAGCGTTTGCGGGCGGAAGGGGAGGCTGGGGAGAAGGGATGGACTGGGGAGGGGGTGGCGGGGGAGAGGGATGACGGGGAGGAGGGGGAGAAGGAACCGCACAGCAGCTTCGGCGGAAGCGCAAAGCGGCGGACCGGCTGGCTTTTCGGGGACACCGGCCTGTGCGCGTCGTGCGGGCTTCCCCACGTGGCCTTGGGCTGCGGTCGGGCGGGATCCGGCGGATTGTTGCAGTCCTGCGTGCCCGCAGCGGGACCTCCTAGTGCCGTGCGGTTTGCGCTAGGGGCTAACGCGGTAACGGCCCCGGGACTAGCGGCAGGGGCATGGTGGGGTGAGGCGCAGCGAGGGCTGCCTGCGGCGTCGTCGGCTGTCGCGTGGCTGTAGCCTGGACCGAGCCGGCTCCGCGACCGCAACCCCGCTACAGCCGCTCCTGCTGTCGACGGGGACGGCGGGCCTGCCGCTGCGGGTGAGAATCCCGAAGGTGACACATCAGTTGACGACCAGTCCACGTAAGCTGCTTCTGCTGGCGAGGGGCCTAGCCTTGTGGACTGTTGATCGCTTGGCGGGCGCCGCGCTCCGGAATGGTTGGCGTTACTAGGAGAGGAAAGCGGAGAAGCGTGACGCGGGGAGGAGAACGGGGAGGGGGGGCGAGGGGAAGCGGTACGCGGCGAAGAGAACGGGGAACGCGCGTGCGGGGAAGCGGGGCGCTGCAAAACGGCAGCGCCGCAGCTCT